TGATGTATTAAGATCATTCTTTAAAACGTTGTCTTTATTTTGGCTGACTGTAGAGCAATGTTATAATAGTGTCTATATTGATAAACAGCTATTTAATCCTCTTTTTTAAAATGTTTTTTTTTTGTTGTTGTTTTTTTGCAGTGGCATATCGACATGGCCGAAAATCATTTATTAGAGAAGCATATGAAGAACACTTCTTACCAGTGGATGGAAGAGAGGTGAGAGAATGTGCTTTTCATGACTAATTCATTTGTATTTAGTGAAAAGAATTTTATTAGTAGGAATCTCTGGTGTTATGATGTTATCATTACTATAGTCTTGTAGACAGAGTATGTATGTGTTGATGAGTATTTGACCACTTTTTAGGAGGTCAGTGTTCTTTCCAAGTCTTTTGACACTCAGAAATTTTAGACATGTTTCTCTTATTCTATTTGATGCTGCATTAAGGATAGTATGCTCTGAAATGTCAAATGTGTTGTGCTGTTATTTCAGGTGACAGTTCAGCGGGTTGTAAATATTGTCGAAAAGAGGTCCCACATGCCACGGCCGGGAGTGGAATTAGACAGAAGATTTAATGATGATCCATGGTATGGAAGTCCTCGTGATTACCATGATGGAAGAGGCTATTCTGAGGACGGCAGTTATCCAGCGAACAATCAACGAGGCTTTGATGAAAATCTCAACTTGGGCAATTTCCGTAGAAATTCCTCTCCCCACCAAAGTGTATGATAAACTTGATTTGCAAGTGTGGTTCAGAAACCTGAATCTGTGTTGTGTTAAATCTGCATTTGTGGCCTTTCGCCATTAAAGTTACTGAAATTGTGATTTTTTTTCTTTTTTTCAGGAGGCACCGTATTCTCAGCAGTGTTATAGCAGAGATGATTTGAGGCATCAGTTAAGCTCAAGGTAGTATGTTCATTCTTTTTGTTTTTTTTAAGGTATTCAATTTGTCAACAATTTTTGCTTTTTATATTTTGTCTTCATTACTTTGTGTCAGATCTCAACTCTGATGAATTCTTTGTGTAATACATTCTATTGACCACTAGATGGTGGCAGAGTTCTGTCTTTTAAAAAGTAAGCTCAATCAAAGGTTTGAACACACCTTCTCTTTTCATGGTTTTTCTTTATTTACATGACTGTTTACTTTGGAGATTCTAACTGAAGGGATCAAAACTATGAATGAACACATATGGAATTATGCAGTAAACAAAAAGTTTGAAAAACATCAAAAAAGTTTCTTGAAAATAGCCACCCTTTGCGTTGATTTCTGCTTTGCACACCCTTGGCATTCTCTCGATGAGCTTCATGAGGCAGTCATCTGAAATGGTTTTCGAAGAGTCTTGAAGGAGTTCCCACAGACGCTGAGCACTTGTTGGCCCTTTTGCCTTCACTTTGCGGTCCATCTCATCCCAAACCATCTTGATGGGGTTTAGGTCAGGTGACTGTGAAGGACAGCACATCTGGTGCAATACTCCATCACTTTCCTACTTGGTCAAACAGCCCTACACAGCTTGGAGGTGTGTTTGGGGTCATTGTCCTGTTGAAAAATAAATGATGGCCCAACTAAACGTAAACCGGATGGGATGGCATATTACTGCAGGATCCTGTAGTAGCCGTGCTGGTTCAGTGTACCTTCAGTTTTGAATAAATCCCCATCAGTGTCGTCAGCAAAGCACCCCCACACCATCACACCTCCTCTTCCATATTTCATGGTGGAAACCATGCATGTAGAGACCATCCCTTCACCTTTTCTGCGTCGCACAAAGACACAGTGGGTAGAGCTAAAGATTTCAAATTTGGACTTATAAGATTAAAGCACAGATTTCCCCTGGTCTAATGTCCTTTCTTTGTGTTTCTTGGCCCAAACAAATCTCTCCTGCTTATTGCTTTTCCTTAAAAGTGGTTTCTTAGCAGCTACATCAGCAGACACTCTTTTCTCGTTGGCCACTTCGACATACCACCAGTTTATAGGCCCAAGCCTCACTTTCAAGGAGTCATACCAGGCTACAGAAGGGGACAAAGGCCACTAGTGTCTACTCACTAAGTCAGACAACCCCACCCTGAGAGGAAAAACAGCTGGACACTCTGTCCACAGTTAAACACACACACACACACACACACACACACACACACACACACACACACACACACCCATATATGTCTCTGACACTCTGAGCAGCAGGTCTTATTTAATTTCTGGCCTTATTTTCCTAAAGTTCCTAAATGAATATTAGATAATTTCAGGTTGTCATTTAATCTTGAATATGTATGATGCAGTAATTCTGTTAGGTGCATATTATTTAAAGCTTGTGAAGGAATGCCTGGCATTAAAAAAGCATTTTGCCAGCTTAAATTGTAAGCTCATATATCACATTTTTAAATTTGCCCCTTCTGTTTTTTTCATGCTGACACTGCTGGATTGCCACGTTAGATTTATCATAACTTGTAAAATGCTGACAGTGACATTGTAGATGAACTTTAAAATGAGGCATTTTGGTAAAATTGTAAAAACCCAGAATGCACAGAGTGGTCATACAGTATGTAGTACAACCTGCCTTCTGTGTAATTCTAAACTAAATCTATAGTTTTTGTTTAATGAAAAAATACTTTAAAATCAAGTGAATATTTTCACAGTTAATTACCAGATTCCCCACTTATATCAGTCTCACCCACTGCACAACAACTAAAGAAGGAGTTCTGTACTGTTTAACTGTAAAATTACGAAGACGCCCATTTAATTTGACTTGCTTGTGTAATTACTGAGCCTTTACGTGAACTTTGGATCTGTCAGGTGTTTTCTGTGAGTAGAAAAGGAGGGTATTTTAAACAAAGATTGCAATGACTAAAAATTTCAGTATTGATCCTATTTGTGTCACAATGCATAGCCAAGAGTTCTGTCAGTTCCTCAGCAGCACTGGTGTAATATTGCTCCACAATCAGAACTGTGTAAATGAAGTGTTTAGTTTAGAGAAAGTTTATGCTTCTGGTTGTTCTGCCAAGGTACAGCTCATTTTTTTGAGTCATTTCATCATTACCAAAGAGCTGGAAGTCAGATTCGTTTTATGTAAAGGTTACTAACGAGGCCAAGCTGACAAATGTAAAATTACTCTTACAATCCCAGCACAAGATATAAACTCTAGGTACTCTTTGCTCCGTAAGACCGAGCAGGACTCATGCAGACGGGGAATAAAGACACAGCTCAGGCACTAATTAGTCGCTCTCTAAATTAAAAGTTGTCTGCGTGGATAAATATACAAATTACTATTATTACTTACTGGAAATTATACATTTAACTCTTGACTATAAGAATGAAGAGCACTCATGTGCAGACATGAACCTTTGAATGTATGTCATTTGTCTGTGAACGCATGTCTGATAAACGCTTTACTCTCTTTTGTTGTTTTCTGACTTCTAAATAAGATACACAAGCTTTTTTCTACCTTTAATGTTTGTTTTGGACGGCATAAAATGACAGTGTTTGGCAAATGGCATGCTAAGTCTGCTACTTCAAACAGGCCGTGAGTCGTAAAAGTTTGAGCCCTTGTTAGACCTGCTTTTTGTTTGAGATGAGGATTGGGTTCAAGCAGAGGTCGTGACAGCCAGGTGCCTTTAAATTGTTCTGGAGGTTATTTGAACACAAGCTTTGAGTTTGGAGAATTGTGAAGTCGATGTGTAAGGAACTATGGTGATTTAATTATGCTGGGGCTATCAAATGTTGCAAAAATGCTCCGAAATTGTATTTAATGGTAAATAAAGAACAGGTTTAGTGTCAGTGCGTTCTTACCGTAGCTACAGGCTGCATGAAATTGAGGACAGATCATAGTGAGGGAAGACCATAATCAGTCCATTTTCCAGCCAACAGTTGCTTTTGCCAAAGTGGAAGATTGCCTTAGTTCCAGAAATTTATCAGTACCCCACGGAGTCTTTCAAGTCTTTTTCATTAGTTTTCCTGCTTCCATCACCAATCTGACGGAGTCACTGATGCATAACCTGCACATTTGTTTTTAATACCAGCAATCGTAACTAAAACAGCATTTTGAACTCAACTTTCATAGATTACGTTAAATGTGCTTCTAACTAAACTGCTTCATTCGCTAGTGCTTAAATCTGCCTTTTTTCCTGTTGTGTTCTGTCTTAGAAAGAGTGGTCGAGGACACCCTTTTCGCAACAGAGGTCGGGGAGGCCCTACTCAAAGGTCAGTGCGCGACAGAAAAGCCAAGTCAGTGCCCTCACGTGCATTTCTGGGTGTTGACATCCTCTTAACTGTTTGCAAACAAAGCTTGAATTTGGAATATGAATTACGATCCAGTCTTGATGCATGTTCAGTTATTCAGATAAGGAAACCACAGAAAGTCGATTCTGTTCATCTGGATGTAACATTGTCAGTGGGAAAAACATTTTGTCACTCATCCAAGTGGCTTCTTTTTTGTTATCCAAGTGCTACTTCCAGATGAACACAATCTGGGATATCTTTGTGGGATACATTACAATCAGTTATATAAAGAGAAATCCAGTTTGCCTTTTGTGTAATCCTTTTCTATGCATACAGTAAGCAGTTTGTTTGGTCACCAGTATTTATGGCATTAGTTTGCTCTCCATAGAAAGGACCATGATGAGTACAGGAACCCTCAGCCTACAGTTATTGTGCGGGATCGCTCTCCTGGAAGAAGGGAAGGCCAGCCGCCTCTTCGTTCTGGATCAAACATCAAAAACTTCTCACCTGATGGGGACAAAAGCTACACGTATCAGCAGGGACAGCAAAAGCGTAAGTGTAAAATCCTCTGAGGATGCCAAATAGCTCATTTTAATGATTTTGATAATGCCCGCATACAGATTCACAGCGGGATTAGCTAAAAGATGCCAAAGGAAGTGTGTGTAGAGAGAACTGGTCACCAAGGGTCAGTCTATGAAAACAATACCTTGATATTCACATGGATGATCACCGGTTGTTCAACGTCACATTTGCATTTGAACTCTTTCTCATAGTCCACTTTATGTGTATAGTCCAACATCAATTCTTCTCCTCGACCTATAAGTTGAACTTGCTCGTGCGACCCGGTGTGGCAGCAGATAGTAGGACATCTAATAACAAAGCACATTCTTTGATTTTGCATGAGAAAAACCTTAAAGCCCATTGATAGGTTGAGAGTTGTGAAGTTGCCTTACCTAATACAGCACTTTTTGTGCAACTGTTATATCCTTTGAAGTGAAACTAGAAATCACTCCCAATTTTACAAAGATAATTAAAATGTCTAAACAAATTAAGCCGCTTCAGGTGAAACATCTGTTTTTCAGAGGTGGTGTGTAATGTGTGGGGTCAGGGTGTGCTGAAAAATGTTAGGGTGGTAATTAGGCTAACACCAAACACACTTTCAGAGGCCGGGAAAAGGGTACCCTTAGCTTGGGGTGGTTTGGCTTTGGCTCTACCCTGACCTCTTTTTTTAGTCAGAATGTATTAAATACACTAGCTTAAAACTGTCTTCAGAATCACACTGGGTGTGTCATTTTACTCAGTTTCACTTTTGTGACTTTTATAGGCTTCAGAAATATCATTTTCAGTGCTGAGCCAGTGAAATTTATGAATGTTTTAAAGAGATCTGACACAAGCAGAGTTATTAATTTAAAGCAAGAAGTGTGGACAATAATTTCTCCACTTCTTTGATTTCTGAGAGGCTTAAATGTATTTATGTGTTAAAAGCTGAGCTTCGTGTTCTACAGCCCTTTGAAAATGTAATAAAACAGTGAGAAAACAGATGCACCTCCCTGCTCCACTACCATCTGGGATGTTAATTAGAGCAGCACAGCAAAGTACTCAAAAAGTGTGTTTGATTATAGGGCACACTGGGCTTTGTCATGAACACAAAAGGTTTAGTTCAAGTACATTTTTACAGTCAATTGTTGTCAGGTACATATAACAAATTTTCTCACATTCTGAAATAAGCAATACAAGTACACTTACTTTATGTAGCATTTGGCTGTGAGTCTAAAAATGAGAACTATTCTGCATTAAACTACTTCCATTACATGAATGTTTGTGCTGTGTTTTTATATGAGCAGTTATAACATTAAACTGCATATGGATTATGGCAGACTGGCGCTCATGTAAGAGTGTGTAATAGCCGACAATAGCTTTAGGCTGTTATAACTAGCTCTGCATTTAACATGGTTCATTATTATTATAAGTGCTTGACTTTCACACTGTAGTTTTTCTGTTTGCTCTGAGCAACATTATCGCAGTATCTAACCTTTTTGCGGTGAAAATTGGTGCCATCTGGAGACTCCATAGTCCCACAGCAAAACACCAATTAGCTTTCATCTCAGATCAATTAAATCAAAATGAGAAGTATCCTTCATTAAAATAAACAGCTAGCTTCTATTTGTTTTTTTGTTTGTTTTTTTTCTAGACACACTGGAGCCAAAGACGGCAATATTTCAGTTTAGGCACAGCTGAACTCCATGACCACTATTGTGTAGGAGGCTCCAACAAGGGAGTATTAAAAAAAACTGTGACTTATACTTTTCAGCTGCTTCATAAGGCTGTGGTAAATTGTTCACTGTGATAAGTGAGGTACTGTCTCATGTCTCACTGTAAAAACAAATTTTCCTCCAGGATATCTTTTAAAAATATTTTGTGGTGTTTTACCATTATTGGGCATTATAGTAGGGAGAGTTTGGTGTCTGTAGAAAAAGAAGACTAAACAACAACAAAAACCAGATTTTAAATCATGTATTTATGGGTACTAACATGTATTTTTTGGGTCCCTCTGTGTAACATTAGTCAGATGTATGATAGTTATCTCAGGATGCTTATCTGCTTATTTTCTTACTCTAATTTTACTTTTCTCTGCAGATAAACCCAATCTGGTGACAAGCCACACTCCCAGCAGCTCTGTGGAAGGATCTCCTCACAGTTCAGCCTCTTCAAAGGTAAAAGAAACATTTCTGAGAAGATTCAAATACTTGTGCTCTTAAACTGAATGCACTGACAAATGTGGTAACAGCTGGAAAAAGTGCAGGTAACGCAAGCTATGAGAAGATGTTACAGAATATCACTTGTACTATTGCATTGCAAATACAGAAGAGGAAAATATTTGCATTCGGGGCTGTAATCCTTCACAATTTATATCCATTACGATCTACATATTCTTTTGGTTTATCTTGGATATTGAGCCAAATAAAAGTTCTGTGAATGCGTTAATGAAACCTATCAATCTTAAGGATGCATTACTCAGATAAGGAGGATAAAGAATATATAAATGATGATTTTAGTAATAGATTTCAATTCAGTTAACAGAAAACTCAAAAAGTGTGCATCTGGATTATTATGGGTGAAACATATTGTGCAAAAATCTGGCAGCTCCATCAACATGTTACTGTAAAAATAATAAGCAAAATTTGCTCTTTGGTTCACGGACATTAAGGTTGGGTTTCCTTTAGGTTATCTCTGTAAACAGAGCGATATACCCTGTCTGGTAACCTCATTTCTGTTTACTGTTGACATGTGGCATGCATAATTAGACACACACGAAAACAAGAACTCAACACCTGTAAGAGAGCAAAGTTGTCTCCATTTGAAAGACTTTGAAATCAGAGCCAGTTTCTAAACGCGGTGCCCTCGGCTCTAACCCCTTAACCTTTGGCCCGCCAGGAAAAAACTTCAGCATCTGCAGCGGAGTCGGAAGAGGCGGCGGCTGCCAGCATGGAGCCAAAGCTGACACCAGAGCAGGACATCAAGGCTCGCCGGTTGGAGGCCATTAAGGCGAAGGCTCTGGAAATTGAGACGGTAGTAAGATTTCCTCCATGAAACTGTCTACCTTCTGTGAATTCACTTTACTTTATATGTTGCTTTGGATAATGTAACTAAGGGTAACCACAACTACCTATATGGCTCTTTGCTCAGGCTGACCCTTCATTATTCATTCATTATATCACTGGGTCTTTAATACGACATCAACTAAAATCTTTTTGACCTTAAAAGGGTGAGATTATATTTCTGAGATTTTACAGGAAATAGAGAAATTAGCTTAATTGCGTATTGTTTCAGGGTACTGAACCGCCTGTTGGCCAGTGAAACCTTCAGACTCGCCTCACTGTAACTCGTTTCTCTCACTTTTTTTTAAAGCCAACTCATGACTGACTTATACACCACTCAGATCAGCCAGTTACAGAGGACATAGGCACAGGTTCAGGAAAGAAACTAAGCTGATGACTTAAGTTATTAAATACCAAACGTATTGAACCACTTTTTTTAGCTGGGACATGCTAATAGGTTCACCTCAATGTGTGGTGGCCTGTTGCTGTACATGTTTGAGTGACTTTATGCTTGACTTTATGTATCACTGTAAGTCATGGAGCAATAAGTACAAGCTATGCCTCGGCTTGTTGTAGCTTATATGTGAGAATCATATTTTTCTTGTAGAAAAAGAGGATGAGTAAGCAGAAAAATGCTTAGCACCTCAGTTTGCGATGCCTCTCGCGGCCTGCTATTTGGAGTTGCACTTTTTCCATCCCCTTCATCACTTTACACTACAGTACTACTTATCTATTCCAGTTAAAGCAGTGCAGGAATTGCCCTGCAGGATGCAGGCGGCCCACACACAGTGTGGTACATCTCTTGGCATTAGCACACACATGCTTACCCTGCCATTTAAAGACGTGGTGAGAGGCAGCAACCTCAACTGCGCCTTTACTGTAACATCTGCCACAGGCGCAGTCAAAACCACATAGTGCTCGGTCACTCTGAAGGAATGCCGAAATGAGCCGATCAGGTAGCAAGCAGAGACGGGCCACTGAGTCAATACACTGGTTAAAAAAAATGTGTTCTTTTTATAAAAATGTTTGTCGTTTCAAAATGAGCTTTTTTTTCTACAAGTTTTAATCATTTGTGGACATCCCTGCATGAGGCTCATTCAGTCACAGACAGATTTAATGCAGTGACTCATTGCATCCCATAACATACTGTCTGAAGCCATCATAGGGAGGCGATGGCCTGGGAGGTAGAGTGGGTAATGTGCTTCTCAGAAGGTTGGTGGTTCGAACCCTGGATTCTCCAACCTGCATGTCGAAGTATCCTTGAGCAAAATACTGGACACCAAGTTGCATCCATCAGAGTCTGAGTGTGTGAACATTAAGTTAAAAGTGCATAACTCCTTCTCTTTTTTTTCTGTTGCAACAGACGGGCAGAGGATCAGTTTATTATTCTTTAAAGTGACACAAAACAAGTCTGAACATGTAAAATAACAACAACAGAGTAGAAACTTAGAAAACATCCATATTTCAATATCACACCAAAGCTAAGTGCCTGGGAGTGATTTTCCCTAGAAGTACATTCATCATCTCAATCAGCCCAAATGAAACATATCCATTTCAACTATTAGCCCCTCCATTGAGAAGTCCGGTTTGCAGCTTGAGTGATTAAAATGGCTCTTTTAATATCCCCTAATGTGTACCAGCCCTCAAGTCATTACCCTACTTCCCTTATTATGCAGGACCCCTGCCTGCATCAGTGCTCATTTGAACAGAGCCTCACTAAACATCCATGTGAGAGCCGTATGTATAATTTCACTCAAAGCCTTTACTTCCCAGCCCCCACACACTATTCCACTGCACACTCCTGTCTGTATGTTCACAATCTGGACCTCCACAAACATCCGATTTGGGCAGAAGCCTGCTTTTTAAGGCTCCTCCTTAAGGCCCCTAGTGTTGCCATTTCTCCTGGGGCTCCAGTCCGTCCTGTGTGGGCCCGTAGTATCAGGCTTAAAAATCAGCCCATAGCGCCCACTCCAGAGAAGGAACTTAGGCAGAACCTCACCGCAACCTTTACTCACAACATTAAGAGCATGCTGAGGTCAGAAACACACTTCCTATTAGTTCATGCGAAATAGAAACATTTCTTATAGAAATAATAGTCTCCCCACAGTTGTTCAGTATGTTGTACATATACATCGGTTGTTAATCCTTCAGAAAAATGAAGCAAATGAAGCATTCTCAAGTCTGTTTTGATTCTTTCAAGCATGAAAACAGTGTCTGTGGGATATAATGAAGTGAAAATGTAATTACTGCCACGAAAGGCTGTAACTTGGGAAGAGCTCAGACATGGCTTTGTTTTGAAAGATGGCAAACAAAATCAATCCGAAGGCGATTAAAGGGGTGGGATTGGTGCGTTGGGCATTATACCACATGTTTGTGTCTCACTTAGCCCATGTTTCCTCTCACATTTGGACCAGGCTTTTTTTTCTAAATGATTTTTACTTTGTGCAAATGTTCAAGGAGGACAGATCTTTTCTTAGGAGATAAATTTGTTAGTAGAAAATAGTTGCAACTGTTAGAAGGACAAATGGTTTTGTAGGTCGACAGAGAAAAGGGGCCCACGCGTTGCTGTATGAAGCTGACCCTCAGCTTAGTGGCCACACGTGTCGTGAGTCGCTCACTTCCTTGTGGTCGGGTTGAAGTCTATCATTATGTGGGGTTGCAAATTTCACATGACATGATCTGCAGACATTAAGACATCCGCCGCAGTCCAAACATCTCCCACAGTCTGGGATATTTCTGTCAGATTCATTCTAAACAGCCTTCCCTTTGTGTGTATGTGTACAATGCATATTGAAATACAGTGATAATAACCTATATTGCATCAACATTCATTCATAATAGTTATTTACTCACCTAATATTTGATTAATTTTTCCTTTAACCTTGTTTCAAATGGTCTAAAGCGAAGAAGGTGTGTTAAAGATGAACAAATAAGCGAGAATTAGGCATCTGAACATGCTGTGGCTGGTTCAGCTGTGAAGTGAGAGAGGAATGATATAAAAAGGATAACTAAAGAGGCTGTAGGCAGTTTTTTTTTTACTTAATTGTAATTATCAAGAACAGCATTCAATGAAGACCGTTCATTTTCACTCTCCAAGTTTTGTGTGTAATTTTCACATAACGTTTTAACCAGACCCAGCGCCTGGGATTTTTTCCCCTCTCTAACAGGTTCGCTCAGTAGCCTCTTTTGCTTGAAAACACAGTAAATGGCTCCCATGTGGTGATCTGTTTCCATCCATATTGTTCAGGAGTGAATGTTATTCTTGTTTCTTTGACCTTTTCCGTGTGTTTAAAGCCCCACCTGGCTCAACTCCCTCTCAGATTTTGACTGTGGTAAATTTATATTTTTTAAATATTCTAGATTTACAATAATGACAGTTAAACGATTTAGCAAATTACATATTGGAGACACATAACTTTTATTAAGTTCTCAGCGGGTAAGGTTAGGTTATGGCAGTACATTTCTAAATGCTTCAGACTGATGGATACACAATTTTGAGTTAGCCTGACATTACATGATATGTATCTAGGCAAAGAAACAGCAGCTGTGGTTTTTAATTTCCCCAGCACTGACAGAACCCTGGAATATAGTGTTTAACCGGTTAACCTCACTTTCTGTTTAAGCACGGACACTGATTTAAGTTGACAGGCAGCATTTTTTCTTTTCAAAGTTAGCAAAGCTGATGGTGTGTGTTTTATTGTATTTTAACAGACTGATAATAGTAGATGAGATACAGTTGGCTAATTTTAGTTCAGCAACTAATGCCTGCACACCCCACAGTCCTAAAATGGCTTTGTGGTCTGAACATGACATGGATAAGTAGTACTTCTAACATAAGGATGCTGAGACTGTTTAATTAAGTCATTACTTTAAAGAGGTCACGTCTCCAGACATGTGCAAAACTGAGCAAGGACTGTCTTCTGTTTGATCAAGTTGTTATCAATAGTCGAGATAACCAAAAAAATTGAAATCTAGCTGGAAATGATATTAATTTTATTTTATTTTTTTGCACTGGCTGTATTTTGATATATATTTGCTGCTTGATCACCTGCAGAGTGGCTGTTTCAAGTTCTCCAGTGACCGTGATTGTAGATGTGATTGCGGCTGAACTCTGGAAGACTCTGATGTCCCACAGTCCTCCTTAACAGGCTGGTGTAGCCCTAAACCTCTGTGCAGAGTCAGTGAAGGGCCTTGCATTTTGCCATTTTCCCTCAGGTGATAAAGATGTTGTCAGCGTGCACCTGGGACTCCAATAAAGAACTTAATAGCTTTTGGGTCGGCAGTAAAATCTCTATGGGACATGAGAGCTTGTTGCAATGTGGTGTGAAAGAATGCTGCTGCTTAGTTCTCATTGATTTCATTGTGTAACTACACATCCAAACGACATCCTTTGCTTTTCTTGTAATTTGAAAAAAAAAAAGATCCGTTGCTTTTAAAGCCAAAAGTCTCAAGATTTTATTTTGAAGAGGCAACGAGAAAAAAAAGAATCAAAGACTATAATATTCTTTTTTTTTTTACTACTCACCACAGCAAAAAACTGTCTCAATCTCATTCTATTGCTAGCATCCTCTTCTGTCACATCAACCCTTCCACATGTCCTCCTTCATTACATCTATAAACCTTCCTCTTTTCCTCCTTCTTGGCAACTCCATATTCAACATCCTTTGCACAATATATCCACTATGCCTCCTCCTCACTTGCTCAAACCAGACTTGTGTCTCTATTTTGTCTCCAAGCTGCTCGACCTGAGCTGTCCCTCTGATATTTCTAATCCTGTCCATCCTGGTCTCTCTCAGTATAAACCTGAGCATCTTCAACTCTACCACCTCAGCTCAGCTTCCTTCTTAGTGCCACTGTTTCAGATCAGAACAGGATTCACTTCTGCCTTTTAGACTTTCTTTTCATTCTTGCAGCTATCCTTCTCACAAATCAGCCCTTTAAGATAAGGGCACAGTTATAACATTCAAATAGAACAATTTATTATGTCTTTATAATGTGGCTTTGATTTTGTTTTGTTTTTTATTCGTTGTGTTATGATATTGCATACATAATGACATTCTTGATGTGATTGTTTTGTTTACAGCATTACAGACAGGACTGTGAGACGTTTCGCACGGTGGTGAATATGCTGGTGGAAAAAGAGCCCAGCTTGGATAAAATGCTGCAAGCGCCACTAGACAAAAACCTGCTGGAGATCAAACAGCGTTGCCTAGATGCTCTTAGGAACTTTGTGAAGGAGCTGGATGAAGTAATAGAGCAGCCGGACACCAAAGCGTAAGCCGCACATCACTAAAACAAAGAGGAGATAGAATAGAGTTTCAACACTTTCCACTTGAAAAAAGTGGAAAAATGTTCCATGTGCAAAGTTTATCTAAAGTGTTTAACTATTTTATATTTTTACTGTGTTCTTTAAAGAACAGTACTGGCAATTTATTTACACAAAACACTCATGTACAGTATTATGTGCAAACAGGATCATTGTGATAGAAAGGGGTATGTTTAAAACTAGACTGAATGACTGAAATGCCTATTGCATTTTGGGTCAAAATCAAGTTTGTGAACTGACATATAACTTAGTGCTTTTTTTTTTTTTACCATGAATTGTGTTGTCAGAAACATAAAATGTTATTGCATTTATAATTGATGTAAAGCTAAACATGTCATCATTTACACCAGCTAGAAGCTTGGTTAACATTACTGCTAAAATCTTCTGATAAGGAAATTTAAAAAAAATAAGAAATCATGAAATGTAGCAGATAGAATGGTTTTTACCTTTAGCTATGGCTACAAGTGCAGCTAAGACCAACACAAAAACAAGCATTATCCACCAGTTATCAAAGGGTCCAAGTTCATGATGTGTTTTACTGGTGCAGGAGAGTGCATTTTTTAGGATATGCATTTATTTTCTTTTTTTCTGCTTGTGAATATCTTTTTGCTTTGCAGTTAAAACTTTTGCAAATAAAATGTGAGACCTGTAAATAAATGATGTCTCGTATTTCCTTGTTTACATCAATTACAGTACATCAATTAAATGTGTTTTCAGAAAATGGTCACAAAAAAATCAACACCAAACACAATCAAATCATGATATATAGAGATTTTTATTGCAATTAACACCTATTTTAGCCTTATATTCCAGTTTATACATTTATACAGATTGCAATGATTTTCTTACAGTACAGTGACCCATAAATAGATTGTTCCAACAGGCTAATTATTAATACACAGTGCTTTTATGTTGGTGCTGCACAAACCTGGAAAAAACATCTGCAGAGCCTGGGTCATGTCAGTTTGTCTTTAAATTTCTGACACCCATATTTAAAAATGACTCTGTACCAACAGCCAATTGTTTAATTTTAATGCCATTTGGTATAAAGAATGACAAAGGTAGAAAAATATTACTTTAAAAAATTTCTACAATATATACAATATATCTGCACTGTTAAATAAACACAGTTTAGATTATATTTTATAAATATGTATTATACTTTACCATCAGTTTGTAATGCTATACAAGTGTACACACCTATAATAATCCAAATATGGACTTGTGTCTTACACAACCACCTTGGTAAATTGAGTGCTGTGAAGCATTTAATAGCAAGCAAACTGTTTATATTTTAAATGATGAACAAAGGGGCATCGGTGAGTGGCAAATCGTTGCCCAATGCTCAGCAGAGTAAAGCCTATGAAATTATACAGTTTTTCCCTTTGTGGCCTTTTTTCTTTTTGGATTTAGTCCATTGGCCATAAGGAGCAGAGGACATGCCTGCTACAGAGCTTGGCAAGTCATCAGTGTAATAGTGTCTGTGCGGCCTGGGCTGAGGGATGGGCTGACCCAGGAAAAAACCTTCCTCCTCAGAATCAGAGGAGGAAGATGAGCATGTAGAACACCAGTCATCATCATCATCATATAGACCCAAGAACCTTCCCATTGCTTGGCCCTGTAACCTGTAGTCGGACATGGCAGCAGAATGGGGGTGACCGTGGAATGGTTGGTGCCCCTTGGAACCGAGGGCATTCCCTCTGCGGTCTGCTTTGTTGCACATCTGGGGCCTTTCCTTAGGCAAAAGGTTTAAAGCATTGTCAGACCGGGATTTGCGGCTGCGACGCCTCCTATGGTGGTGCTGTTGGCGACCAGAGTGAAGGTCCTGGCCTTGTTCTTCAAAGTGGTACACTCTCCTCCGAGTCCGTTCACTCATAGGTGGCTGCCGCACTTGAATGTCACCATAATAGCCATTGTCCACAACATCATCCGAGAATTTGACTTGCTGCGGCCTAGACTGTGAACGTGTCCTTCTGAGGGCAGGGACATGAGGTTTGGGTCTGTCCTCCTGGGGTGCTTCTGCTAGAACATTCTCCACCTCCTCCTGCTCAGATGCAAGACTTTTTAGGGAATTTGCACTTCTGTGTAACATAGAAGAGTTGAGCGTTCCCATATTACTGGTTTTCTCACAGTCTTCTGTTTCCAGTTCATGGAAACCTTGCAGGGAATATACCACAGACCTTTCTTTATTATCACCATCTACTGAGGTTCCTAGAAAGGAAAAGAAAATTTATTACATTTCTGCACTAAAATACATCAAAATCCAACTACTGACATAGCATAAAATCATGTTATTTTCCATATCTGATTTTTAGAGTTCCATCTACTCACCAGTAATATTGGAAAGAGCAAGTGAGTCCATAGAGTCTCGGACATTCTGGTCTGTCTTCTTAAATTCATCGGTGATACACTCCAAAGAGTCGGTGTACCATTGTGGCTCCTCTCCCTGAAAACCTCCTCCAGCCCCATGATCCAGCTCCAACTCCTGGATTTTTCTGCTGCTTGCTGGACCTGGATGGCTACCATAGGCAGAATCTCCTAGCCCATCCTGTGATTGTGCCCAGTACATGTCAGCTTGGTACTTCTTGCTGGCAAGGCTTCCCCTTCCTCCCCCACCATTACTCCCAGCTTTTGAGGATACCTGCTTTGACTTGGTGTCCTTTTCTGCAATCCAGAAATCTGTAGGTCTAGAGTCGCTGGCTTGCTGGAAAACCCCTTGTTCCCCAAACTTTAACAATAGCTGAGTCATGTAGTCTTCGTGCTCAGCCCACTCTTCCTCCTGGTCGTCAGGTGCCTCATTCTCATCACCGCGGCCTCTCCAGAAGTGTTCATCTGATAAGTGCATATGGGCAAGCTTGTTGGTCAGGGTGTCATCAGCATTCCCACTCAAGCCAGGGAACTTATAGTTAACAGAGGGTGAGAACAGGAGTGACTGCCGGCACTGGTCAGCTGAACGACTGCTTTTGCCGATGCGCACACTCCGGCGGGATTCACGTGAGCGCGCCGACTGGAAGGCAGAGTCAGAGGAATCGGAAGCATGCACATCTTCCCCGAGACTGCAGGCTTTGGAGCAGTAAATACGACCCTGGTATGGCAGAAAAGGACTACCCAGTAGTGAGGTCTTACAGTGGGCACAGCTAAAGCAGCTCTCAGTGGCATGCCAGTGGAGCCCATCATAGGTCATCTGAGCATGATCAACACCTGTTAAAGGGGGAGAGCAAGTTAACATTTCTCTGTTGCTTGAAATAGTATTTTAACTCCAGAAGATCACTGTCTTACCAATGTGTTCTCCACAAGCCTCACAGTACTCTGCATAGAGAGACTCAAAGCAGCCACAACAGTACGGTCTGCCGTCCTTCATGATATAACGCTGACCTCCGAGAATTGTCTCACATTCAAAACAGGAGAAGTGTTTCATGTGCCAGTGGCGCCCCTCCGCCTCAGTACACTCATCAGCAAAGATAATCTGTGGACAAAGATGTGCATTAGTTGAGACAAAATGGTCATCAACCTTTAGAAGCTTCAGATGCAATATCTATCTTTGCAACACTGTTTTTTTCTCCTTAGTACTACCTCATCACAGGCTGAGCATCGTGGTTTCAGCAGCTCAGCATGGTGCCTCCCGCAGTGGATCTTTCCATCGTGGTAGAAGTAGATCAAATCCACGAGGAGTTCCCTACATGTGGAGCAGACAAAGCAGGATGGGTGCCAGCACAGCCCAGCGCTCGCCCTTGAAGCAAACACGGCCATTTCTCCACCGTTGATGTTTTCGCCGCACTGTAATTGAAAGGGCTAATGATCAACTTTTAAAAACAACACAAGTCACATTAAGACTGAACAATTGTCATACTTTTGTAATAATGTTTGAGTCCTACATGGGCATGGATTTAGCTGCACACAAAGTCTGAGTCTGGCTACAAAAAAACATGCCTTCCATCAGCACCTGGAATCCCACTAGGTTGTTCGCAGATTAGCAGAACATATTTTATGTCTGTCCTTCTGACTGACAAGAACAGGAGTGGGTGGTAGAGGTCATTTAAAAGGAGAAAGAAAAGGAAAAACAGCAGTCTCAGAGATTCATCAGTTTATGGGCACCCACTTGGCTGCTCACTGGTTATTGTTTAAAAAAAAAGAACTTTATACTGAGCCTTTCCAGCCCAGACAGCAAACACTTTTTAGTCCATGACAGCATTTCTCTCGTTTCCAGCTTTCTTTCTGATCTAGATTAGCTAAATAGCCAAAAATGAGATGCAAATAGGAAACGTAGCAAACCCTTGTTTAATACCCTTCATGGATAATTATTTTTATATAAGAATAATGTTTATATCCTTAGTTCCACAAAAACTCTAGACTACTGTCTATTTCTCAGTCATCATCGTGTTATAAACAATACATGGGCTGCATGCAACGTACATGATCACAAATGCTGTTCAGAAAATTGCGAGGCAGCAGTTTTACTGTGCCCCTCCCCAATGCTTCCTTCTTCCTCTGAACACTGAACATGTGCAGCTCCTTCTTCTCCTCCTCACTCAGGGACTGGCAATAACGCACCTGGGAAAGAAGGTAATTGGTTAGGAATATGATGGCTAGTTTCACAACCACAGGCTTTTATATCTATATATAGATATAGATATAAGAATTGGGATGATTAATGCTTCCTGAAAATCTGCTACTGAGAATAGTATATATAAGTGACCTTTTTGGATTGAGGGCGAAGTGCTTATCAGAGCAGTTTGAACAAAAGGAACTCTTGACCCCAGCTTTCCCTTCCTACACCACCCAACATATCTCCACCCACAGTCCCCGATTGAGAACCTGTTTTTTTTTTTTTTTACAACAGTCCTTAACAAGGGGGAAAGCAGACGTTTACACAAACAAGGCCTGTGTTTAGAGTGTAATCAAGACAGTGGGCAACAAAGGAAGACAGACAGCCGAGGCGAACTGTGGTGCCACTGCAGTGGTGGCATCACATAAAGCCTCCCTCTCACTCTCTCTCTCGCTGAGCGGTTCTCATAAAAACCACTGCTTTGGCAGGAATCCTGCTGGTGGGGGCTCACGGCAAACATCATAAAATTATCAAGTCAAAAGTAACATTGTACCCACTCTGGACGTCTACAAGCTTGCGGAACAAAAATCCCCCAGTGTGATGTCAATGGAGACGCTATGGACGCACATTAGTGGGATAGCAATGGAGATGGTGAGGGAGGCTTGAGCACTGCAGGATGAGTGAGCAGCATCAACTGCAGCTACTCAAACACAATTGTTTTTTTGTTTTTGCTGCAATTTTGGTGCAAATGTGAGGGCTGAATTTTTACGAGACATGCATTTGCACACACAGGCACCAAAAATTCTCACCTCATTATCATGTGGTGGGAGTTGGTAGAGGAGCTGCTTGATTCTGAACTTCTCTCCTGGGCTGTTGACATATGGGATCTTGTCCTCAGGCAGACACGAAAAATATAGCTGGACCTGGGGGAAATATTAGGTTAAACACATGATGTTTTTGGTTGAATAAAAAGGGTTAGGGTTGGACAACTAAATGCATTCCA